GGCACTGGCGGCAGCCATTAAATAAATATAAAAGGATGTCAGAAAAGCACTTGAAAATGCTATTCCAGGATTGTACACAGATTCTAGAGGGATTGATATCCCAATCACGGAGAATGAGATGGAAAAGAAAATGGGACTAGGATTGCAGTACTCCGTCCGGAATGGTAGTCGATGCAGCGGCTCTGCTGCGGAGCTGCCACTTGATGAGTCGAGGCGCCCAGTCTGCCAAATCCCAGGCTCCATGCGAGGGATCTGTGTGTGGCCTGACTCTGATGAATAGCTGTGAGCTCTTACTAGGCCATGGTGATGCAGCCAGCTTGGGCTTATGAAGCCTCTGTATTTCATAGGTATAATTGCAAGGTGCTCATGCTCCCACAGGAAACGAAGTGATTTGTAGTGATATCCTTTTACACATTCCGCTGGAACTCTGAATCCAGTTCATTCAAGCTAGCGGCCATGGCCAACAGTTCCTCTCTCCAGAGATGAGGTACGGCCTCTGCTGCAGCATGAGATCAACACCACACTATGGGGAGATATCCCCTATTTCGATGCAGCAGTTTCGATTTTGTCATCATCCCTATACAACCCCGATATATTCCCTACTACTACTACTACTACTGCTACTACTACTACTACTATGATTACTACTGCCACTACTACGACGAGTACTACGAAATCAAAGAAGAAACCTTGGGCTGCTCTTCACCTTATTGGTTGTTACCAGGGGAAAAAGGGAATACAGCTCCTCTATAGTCCCCATATAATAGCCCTTACTCACTACTATAACACCGATATATCGCTTGTTGAAATGCAATAGTTTGCATTTTCTGTTCCATTGTCCCTGCAGTATACAACCCCAGTATATTCCCTACTTACCTCCAGTGAGATTGAATATAATGTGCAAATATAACCTCCAATATGCCATAGCAATTCCACATTTGTTTTTCCATTAAGTATTCCTTACTTAACTATATGCATATGTACGTATATATATATATATAACCTTCTATCTTCCTCATATTCCCTACTGACCCCCGGGAAGTTACAACTCAGCAACAAACGAGTCAGGCCATCGGCTATAGGCCGCCATGATGCTTGCCAAAGGCTGCTGGCGAACATGCGGAGCTGAAGGAGCTGAAGCTTACTAGGGATAGTGGGGGATGTACGGAATATATAGGGTAATATCAAGTTATAAGGAATATAGTATTGGGTACTATAGAATTATACAGTATATATAGGGTAATAAGGAATATCTAGGGTAGTATAGAGCTATAAGGTATGTGTATAGACTGTATAGAGGGTAATATAGGGTTATAGGGAATAGACAGGGTAGTGTGGGCTATAAGGTATACATGGCATAATGTGAGGTCATAAGGAATATGTAGGGCAATATAGGGTCATCAGATATGTATGTATATATGTATAAGGAATATACAAGGTAAACTAAGGTTATAAGAAATGTATCGGGTCATAGAGGGTTATGAGGAATACATCGGGTAGGAAAGAGTTAAAGAAATATGTAGGGTAATATCGGGTTTTAGGGAATAGTCAATACAGGATTCTTTCTATATATATATATATATCTCTCTCTCTCTCTCTCTACCAACCCACAGTACATCAAAGTCTCATCTACAGCAAGTGCGGCCCGTTGCCAACTGTAGTCCCCTTAGACCTATAATAAAGAATTATGTTTCCAATAATTCCTTCGGGCTATACTATAACAAACATGGAATATATTTCCTAAGGAGACTACCGTACTAATATGGCTCATTATCATCATGGGTTATTGTTAGTATTGTTAAAATATTGTATTTATTGTTAGTATGGGCAACATCTCCAAGAATGCGAAACTCATGGACGGTGCAGGCCTGAAGTAAGACATCGTGTCCGTCTGCGAAAATCACCTGAGTCAAGGAGTTGACTTGACAGTCGTAATAGTAAGAGGAATGCTGATAGTAAAAGCAATAGTAATCATAATAGGGATATGCTGGATTTGGTTGTATAGGGATAATGGAAGACAAGAAGATGGAAACTGCTATGGTCTGGTATATTGGGGGTTACATTGGGATATTACATTCGTATTGGGAGTTAGTAGGGAACATACTTCGGTTGTGTAGGAACAATGGAAAAGAACATGGAAACTACTACATCATAAGGCTAAGGGTATATATTGGGGTATAGTAGGGAATGAGGGTTTTAGAGGTCAAGCATGTGCCGCAACATGCTTTGTTCCGAAAGCTGGATTTTGTGCCGTGAACATGCGGCTTAGCCTCTTCTTCTTTTCGATTGTATGGCGCAAGGTGCCCGACAAAACTCGTGTCAAACAATCACTGCAAGATGAAACTGTGGAACCGAGGGCGCAGTATCTCTCTTGTGGGGTGTAGGCAAGCATGAACAGAACATGCGAATTGTGCTTTCTAAAAATTTAAGCCACGTGACGATGTCATCAGCAGCAATGCGCCCTTTGCTGACCTCGTACTCCAGGACCTGACAATATCGGTTTACATGCGACGATCATACATATATTGCTCAGAAAATGTCCAACTGTGGAAGCCATGCATGATGCCAGCTTCTCCTTGCACATGCTTCCTCTCGAAAGACTATACCCCAAGCCTCCTGGAGCATGAGGAACCTAGGCTCGGCAGTCTGTTGTGCTAAGGGTCATATAGGGTTCTCAAGGGTTATATAGGGCTTAAGTTGCCCAACATTGGGGAATCTTTTGGGGGTCCCTAGAATAAGGATTCTAGTTTTTTGGAGTCTTCATCTTGTGCAGTTGCTTCATGGCCAGGCCATGCTGCACCCTCGTCTTTGCCCTGTCTCTCACACTAGTACTGAATGAGTACTAGTACTGTAATAGTCACCACAAGAATGATGACAACAGTTACTAAGTTACCGTTACAATAGTTTTAACAACAAGAAAGATAACAAAATAGCAACAATAGTAACAACATTGATAATACCAATAAGAACAACTGCAACAACTAACAAAGGAAGACAACAACAACAACAACAGTGATTATGCGAATAACAAAAATACAATATCCACTGCCGGGCTGCTTGAGGGTGGGTGAGTGGCTGTGGATCAGGATGTAGCCAGGCCTCCAGGCTAGTGGTTATCTTTGTTACTGATTCTTGCTATAACTATTCTTACTTCTTACTGTGATTTGTACTCTTCGAAGTGTCATTGCTGGTATCTGAAAAATCTGACTTGTCTTATATTCTTGCTACTTCATGGGAGCTTCATTGTCTTGTGAGGACTCCACCACGCGCCCGGCCTCTTGCTCAGGCCCATGACGCGTAGCACCCCACCAAGCGCATAAGTGGCCTGCAGGCTCAGCAAAGCAGATCAAGACTTGAAAGAACCTTTGTGTCTTCCTAGTTCTTCGTAGGGAATAGTGGAACATAATCTTTTAATCCCCATAGAATCCCTACATAATCCCTATAAGAATCCCTTTTTACACCCTATGAGAATCCCTTTTTAATCCCTATAAGAATCCTTATATAAGATATTCCCAATATATTCCCAGTTCACAACCCGGAGCCCTGGCCTCGGCCAAAACACAGAGGCCCGGGTGAGGGATCTTGGAACATGCGAAGGAAGAAACATCAAGGGGTTATATTGGGATAATGGAAAATAAAATGGAAACTACTATAGTATATTGGGGTTATACAGGGATAATGGAAAAGAAAATGGAAACTACTATAGTATATTGGGGTTATATGAGTCAGAGTCTAAACTCCTAGTATCCTCTTTAATAAGCCCAGTACTTGCATAAAGGATCCCCAAAATAACCAACCCCCTTTAAGGAGTTTAGACAAAAGTTCAGATGTCAAGGTAGAGGCATCTGGCAACCAAGCCCCACACCGTGTCTGAGAATGTGTAGAAATGGATTTGGCCTGAGAGCAGGCAGGTCCCTTTTGCTGGACAAGACACATGCAAGCTGCGTAGGGATGCTCAAGGCACAAAATGTTGAAAGACGTCCTTCGCCAATGCGTGCAAAACTAGGGCAACAGCGTGCAGCCTCGCCAGAGTGGAAGAAAACCTCGGCCACTCCGCTGCATCTTTTCGCTGCATCAGGGCCGGTCCAGCTGAGCAGCCCCAAGGCATGCCACAAGCAGGCGCCACATCTCTCCCCCTCTGTCATCTAGATGTCCTGCTGCCTGGCAGACTTTTGCACGCATATACCGACATGAGTACAAGAAAAGCACCCATTCAAAGCTGGCTCCAAGTCAATTTACAAGGGTGCACCCTGCCATGGGCCAAACATCGGAAAAGTTCAGGTCAAACAACACGAGCTATCGAATCTAATGCCCCAATAGCTCGACACTTCCTCCTGCAAGGAGCTTCGTCACGTAGGTCATGGCAGCGGGTAAGCACATGGCCGGCTTCAGCGAATGTGCTATCAGCCGACTTGTGTTGTTAAGCAGGCTAGTGTAGTCTGATGGCATTGAGATGCATTGAGTCGCTGGAGTTTGTCAGGCGTAGCCACATGCATCTTCTATACATTCCACATCTGACCTTTTGATTACCTTTTGCCCAAGGGTGGGTACTGAAGTGCTGCAAGCACTGGGCCAGGCATACGGCTGTTCTGTTCCGCGCGCGCGTGAGCTTTCACTCGAAGTCTGAGGCTGACATGCATAGCTGCTCACATGATGTTGCCCCGCCTTCATTGTTTCAAATATCAGGTTGCCAGCAGCCGCTTGTGCATTTTTTTTCGTTGCGTCTGTCTGGCACATGCGCCCCCTCACCAGCTCAGCGCCTGACGAAGCTTCTTTGACGAGATCAGAGTATAAAAAGCTTTCCACTCTGCACAACGGAGCTGACAATCACTTCTCAACATCAAGCACACCATACTTGCCAAAATGAACCTTGCAACATGTAGGTTCTAATCTTTGCTATGAGCTATGGGAATACACTGCGCACTTCAAACTGTGCCTTTGCCCCAGGTGGGCTGGGTCGTGTAGCGCAGAAACTTCTCTCAAGCGGATGGACAAGCCTTCCACCTCGACAATCACCAGATGTTGATGGATATTCGGGGTCAGAGGCGTGCACACTCGCTTCAAGGTTGAGGCGGTCTGCGCAGTTATTGCCCATATCTTCTGTTGGGACTAGCGCCAGCAGGAGTGTAATAGTCTGTTGGAGAGGACCTGTCGTCGCTAGCTGCAGAACAACCGCACGAAGGCACTAGTCACTAGACGCGCGGTCCGACAACGAACAAGAAATTCTTTGCCAGAAGTCAGCCACGAAAGCGAAAACGAGCTCCGCAACGTCAACAAAGATCTGTTAGTTCCCACCGCTTGCTCATGCTCGCTGCTCGCTCTCCTCTGCCAAGGCGATTCAAGCACTGGCCGCTACTCTCAAACCCACGCCGCTCTTTGCCGCAAGAGCTGAAGGAACTGCTTCATGATCTTCATGCAGGAGAGAAGACTTAAACGAGTTCGGCACGCACGTAATGACATACTCTCATAATCTGTCGAGGCTAGAGGCCTGGGGCATTTAAATCCAGAGGGGGGACTAGATGACTAGAAGTTTACACTCCCCCTACAGTCGTTTTCTTTATCGTTTCGGTGGGGGGTTCGGCGGGTCGGCCGGGTTGCCACAGGATCCCCTCATACCCCCCCCATCGGAGGAAGCTTGGAGAAGGTCATTTTTTGCGGGGAGGGAGCTCTGCTGACTGGCTCTCCTCTACCCAATAGCGATTAAACTATACACACTTAACAGGTGGTCCCAAGCGATCCCCCTGGAGCTGTAAATAGCTTTGGCACCTCCAACGTTTTCGAGGCGGGGTGGATGGGCAGACACACTGATACAAACTTCTCCACAGCAAAATGCAAGCACAACATGAGTGCACAAGCAAGGTCTGCAGATTTGCAGAGTAGAAGCTGCAAGCAACAGCAACAGCCTGAAGCAAAACAAGGCTGCAACCTGAATAGTAGAACCAGGACACACTTAGCAAATTACAGGGCGAGCATGGGCGAGCCGTGTCCGAGGTCTGAAAGGAGAACTTCCAGCGCATCTCGCAGCCATCATGAGACCCTGCGGCGTCCCGAACGCAAGGCCTCCTGGTTGCCTGAGTCTCTCGCTGCTTGCTGCATTGTCGTAAGACCGCGCGATGCGCTCCTGAGTTCGCTTGCCAAGACGTGCGTGCGGTAACCAACTCAACTCAATTCAATGATTAGATTCAGCCACCAGTGCAATGATGCGCGGCGATCACAACCTTGTCATGTCCAAGCGTCTGCTCCGCTGCAGTCTGACGATCAGCAAGACGGTGCACCTGGGTGCGGCTTTTGCAAATTCAACTGGAACACTGCCTCTTCAGTGAAGCTCTACATCCGTGGCTTTTCTGCATGTTGGAGAAGCATGGACCAACTGGTGCAAGTGCCAAATCTTGGGTCATCACTTCTTCTGCCAGTCCTTCGCATCGCGACCAAAGCTTCTTCAACTCGGCCTTCAACTTTTCACCCCGTGTGTGCCCACAGGTCCGAGGAAAGGGAATCTGCTTATTTCCACAACAGGTTACAGTGAGCAATGTGCCTGGGCCTGCACTTCCTCAACGGCTGGGCTCACGGTCCATGGCATGGATGGCTGGGCCTGTCGGAGTCTCTTGCGTTTTTTTAGCACAGCTTACTAACCCTACAAACAGGCATCCAGCTATGCACGGCGCGATGATCCCCCCGCGATGCTGCATGACTGACATCACGGCCTCCAGCTCCACGCGAAGGCTGGAGGCAGTAACAGGCTCACCTTAGTGAAGAAGAATAAAAAAACAGCGATCCGCGAGGTACTTTCAGCTTTGGGTCCCTCATGGTCCCTCCACTGACATGATCCCGTGCTTAAAGCTCCATGGAACCGCCGTTATAAGTTCACCCGAAGAGGAGCCTGGAGCCTACCTTGCAGTATCACATTGTCCATGCTGGATCTCTTGGAAGAGGCGGCAGCATCTCGCAGGCTACGTCTTCGAATAGAGGTTCGCCCGATAGCTTGTAATAATCTCCCAACCCATGGACTTGTCTCATATCAGTATAAACAAGAGCGCTGTAGTACTTCTAGTGATTTCGTCATAGCAGCAATGAGAAGAACATGGGAAGGCTGCGTCCCAGGCTCTCCACTTGAAGAGACGTGCGGGAGCGGCCTGGAAACCCACTGCTTGGCATCACAGATAGACACAGCTCAGCAGTTCCTCTGGTGGAGAACCCTGATGCAACATCTCGCAGAACCAACGCAAGCAAAGGCTTCAACAGAGCTCCAAGAGCTGCTTGCGCAATGTGATGCTGTCCTGCATGACGCTGCTTTGGTTTTGGGAGCCATGGGCTGCAGTTCACTATTCAAGTGGTGCTTGAATCTGCCCTTTTACAGCATCCACATACAGCTGGCATCTGCCTTCTCAGCTGGGCCTCCTGCCCTGCTTCACGTAAAAAACACAATCCAACAAACTCTGCGCAATCTGCAATAGATTGCAATATGTATACATGCCGCTCTTAACGCAATTGCCGGTCATTCACTTCATTCTTATCTGCGTGGCTGGCCTCCACCGTCTCAATCAGTTGGCCTCGGACCTTGAACGCATCTGCACAACAACAAAT